TCAGCTCAGTCGTTAAAGTGCCATGTAACCTTGGGCAAGTCACTTCTCTCTGGAGCTAATTTCCTCCTTTGTCATATAAAGAGGTCAGAGTATGATCTCTGAAGATTTATTTTTGGTTCTAACAAAAAAGGCAAGTGGGTGAGAAGCAGAAGGGGCTGGCTGGAGAATTTCCAAATAGGAGGTTAATCAAGTACTAAGTAGACTTTGGGAAAAAAAGCCAACAATAAGGCAACCCATGCGGAGCAAATCGCTCCCCTCCAGGGTCTCTTTGAGTGTGTGTGACCCAGATGGCATCACTACAGTGCTCGGAGAGCTTTGGCCACTCTCTGGGCTGAGAGGGAGGAGAAAGGGACTCGATGCTGGCCAGGAATGGGGCCGGGAGGTTCTTGAGGGCCTCTTCTGGACTGAACTGTGCCAAGGAGCGAGGGGGGGCAGGAATGTTCTCAAGGATCCTCCAGTTCTAAAGTGAAAACATGCACGTGGTTCAGGATATGAGCATCCCTGAGTCCTCACTGAGGTATCGTTTTTGAGGGGCCCCTGAGGACCAATCAGCTCTGTGCCCCCAGAAATGCAGCTCCTCCCCAGCATGAATTTGGTTTCATGGCCAATTCCCTTCCCAGGTCTCTCTTTCTGGCAATTGCCCAGGGAGAGGGTGTAGTGCTGAAGTAATTGTACTTGATTCAGAGGCAAGTGGTGTGGGCTCTGGTCTCAGCCTTGCCACTTTCTAACCCTGTGATGTCGGGTGAATCACTCCTCTTTTCTGGGTTTTGGTATTTTTTTTAATCTGCAAAAGTGGGGAAGGGGTCTATACCTGCCCCAAGATCACGGGGTCATTGGGAGAATCAAATGACATGATGTATAGAAAAGGCCTTTGAAAAATATGTATACGGAAATGTGTTTTACATGACTACACACGTATAGCCTATGTTAGATTGCTTGCCTTGTCAGTGGGGGTGAGGAGAGGGAGAGAATTTGGAACTCAAAAAATGTTAAAATTGTTTTTACATGTAATTGGGGAAAAATAAAATATTAAATTTAGAATTAAAAACAAAGAAAAATATGTGTAAAGTTCTACATAGAAATAAGATGGTATAAGCTTCCATAAGGACCTTTGGGGAAGCTAGGTGGAGCAATGGATGGGGCACTGGGCCCGGAGTCAGGGAGACTCCTCTTCCTAAGTTCAAATCCAGCCTCAGGCACTTACTAGTTGTGTGACCCTGGGCAAGTCACTTAACTCTGTTTGCCTCAGTTTCCTCATCCATAAAATGAGTTGGAGAAGGAAATGGCAAACGATGCCAAGAAAACCTCAAATGGGGTCATGGAGAGTCAGACACAACTGAAAACAACTCAACAATAACAACCACAAAAAGGACCTTTGACCTCAGTCTCCTCCTCAATAAAACCATGGCTAAAGTCCAGAGGGTCAGACTAGATGATCTCCTAGGGTCTTTCCAGCTATCAGTCCTAAGAATTTATCACCAAGAGCACATGTAGAAAAAAAATTCAAATTTACCCTATGATATCACGATCTATACCCTGCCCCAACCTACCCAGTTCCAGACTAGGCCAAGGTGTGACCAAAGAACTTTTCATGAGGAGCTGGTTTTCTCCTTTAACAGCACAGGGCATCGAAGGAAGAGAAGGTGTCCCTACTTAACCTTGCCCATGGGGCCAATGATGGCCCCTCCTTCTGGGGCTCTCGTAGATTTTGGATAAGCCAGTTGCACTCCCACTGGTCCCAGAAGATCACTCTGGTACACAGTCCAATATGGATAAGGAAAGAGGGTCTGACAAGAGATTCAGAAGGTCTGTGCTCTGATCCTTACTCTTTGTCATTAATTTGCTGTGAGACCCCCAAGCAAGTTATTTCATTTCTTTGAGGCTTGGTTTACCCATTTATTTATTTATTTATTTATTTTAGACAATCAAGGTTAAGTGGCTTGCCCAGGGTCACATAGCTAGTAAGTGTCAAGTGTCAAGTCTGAGGCTAGATTTGAACTCAGGTCCTCCCGACTTCAGGGCCAGTGCTCTATCCACTGTACCACCTAGCTGCCCTCAGTTTACCCATTTATAAAAATAAGTGTGCAATATAATTCCTGCCCTACCTTCTTCCCAGGATTGTGATGAGAAAAAAAATACTTTGTAAATCATAAAACAGGAGTGGTAATGGTTTGTTGCTGTTGTAATGGAAGGTACACCATGCTGAAGGCCCCTGGCTGCTTAGAACTCTGACTCAGTCTCTAAAAGCCTGTGGGGGTGGTAGTCGGGGAGGAGTGAAATCCACAGAAAAGGGGAAGGGCGCTAGGCCTAAGACAAAAAACTTTCTGGAGACGCCTGCACCACTGAGGCGGCCCAGTTCCAATCTGTCTCCCAAGAGATAGGCTGGGCTTCTTGTCTTGGAGAAGCCCTGCCTAGGAGGCAGAACCTCCTGTCCTCCAAAGAGTGTTGGGAAAAGTCCAGAGGAGAGGCCTGGCAGGTGGACTCGGGCCCAGACCTCATGAGGCTCAGGTTTTCAAAGTGACCTGGCTCTGTATAGCACTCTCCTTGGCGTTAAAGAGAACTGGCCAGTTAAAGAAGCCCTGAGAAGGGCAATCCCATTGTGTTGGAGACGATGTTTGCCAGCTCTGGGGGAGGCCACCGGCAGCAGGACAGACTGGGCTCCCCATTTCTCTGAAGGGGCATGTGCCTACTCAACCAGAACTTCCTTCTCTCCGTCCATCAGTATCTCCTATTTTCATTCAACTCAAAATACAGAATCTTGACTTTACATGTTTGGCAAGGACCATAGGATCATCAACTTAGGGATGGAAGAGGTCTTAAGAGAGCATGTGGTACTACTGGTGATAGGAACTGAAGGTCGCGAGAAAGGGAGTTGACTAGCCCAAGGTCACCTAGGAAGTAACAAAATAGAACCCAGATGTTTAGCCTTCAAATCTATTGGTCTATGAATCTGTGAAGTGTTGTTCAGGCATTTCAGCTGTGACCCCTTCTGGGGTTTTCTTGGTCAGAGTGGTTTGCCATTTCCTTCTCTAGCTCATTGTACAGATGAAGAAACTGAGGCAAATGGGGTTAAGTGACTTATCCAGGTTCACACAGCTAGTAAGTGTCCGAAGCTAGATTTGAACTCAGGAAGGTGAGTGTTCCTGACCCTAGACCTCGTGCTCTAGCCACTGAGCCATCTAGCTGCCCACTGACTTGCCCAAGGCAATAAAGCTAATTAAATGTCAAAGACAGGATTTGAAGACAGGATTTCTGAGTCCAAGATCTAGTTCTCATTCTGTGCTATCACTATTGTACCCCTTTCTCCTCCAAATAAGATGAAGAAAATCACGGCTAAATGCCAGGAGAGCCCTAGGTAGGGAAGTTTGCATGGTATACGACAGCAGTTCTCTGTTTTTTGATCTTTGGACCCTTTACACTCTTAAAAATGATCAGGGACTCTCCCCAAGGAGGTTTTGTTCATGTGGGTTGTATTGATCAATATTTACCATATTAGAAATGAAAACATCTTAGTATTATTGTGAAAATAGTTTTGGCCTCAAGGACTCCCTGAATGGGTCTCACAGACCCTTTGAGCATTGTTGGTCTAGAGGAAGCTGAAGAACAAATGACCCCTTTCCCTCTGAAGCATTCCCTCATGATTTGTGGAAGCTCTTGGTAGTAACTCTCAGATATGTTGTGAATAAGGCCCGCATTCCCTGGGCCCATTCATCAGCTGACAGAAGACCAGGCAACATATAAGGGACCATACGACCAAGGGAGGAGTCATCTGGGCCACCAATCCATAGCAAATAGAGTGGAAGGTTGAGGGGGAAAATGGCCCCCCAAGGCATTCTGAGAGATAGAAAAGTAGGTGGATGGGTGGAGAGATGGATGGACGGGACAGGTGGATGAATGATTGGCTGGAAGGGTGGATGGAGGCAAGGAAGGGATGGATGAATCTACATAACCCAGAGGCAAGAAGAGAGGTGAAAATCCAGGGATGGAGAATAATAAACTGCAACTGCTGATTTCTTTCTGTCTGGGGACCTCTCTTTGCCATATCTACACAGCTACAGAATGTACAACTCCTACTAGGTGCAACACTGCTGGTATAGAAGTGTCTGGAAGACCATTAGGATGACACCCTTAGATTCCTTCTTTACCCCAATTCTTTACTCAAGTCATTTGGGAGATATTTTCCTTCCATGGGAGCATTTAATTCATAAGAGAACCCACTTGAACCTATGATTCATTTTACACACGCTTGCTTTAAATTGAGATCTGGAACATTCATGATCCTTAAAGAAATGAAAGGGAGGAAGGAAATAAGAATTTATTAAGTACCTACTATATGCCAAGGCACTGTACCAAGCACTTTACAAATATTATCTCATTTGATCTTCACATCAACCATGTGAGGTACGTGTTGCTATTATCTCCATTTTACAACTGGGGAAACTGAGGCAAACAAAGGTTACGTGACTTGCACAGTGTCATACAGCTAACAAGTGTCTAAGGCTGGATTTGAACTTAGGTCTTCCTAACTCCAGTCTCAGTGGAGTCACTATACCACTCACTACCACTCACTGCCTAGAAGAGGGAGTCACTTTTCATCCAGATTGATTTTTTTCCATGACTCAGATCCATTTTGCGTCCTAACTCCCTGGGGGAGAGAAATGGTCAAGGGCTTAGATAGCAGATTCTGTCTCTCTGAAGCCTTTTCAATATCCCCCAATGCTTCTCCAGTCATGATCTTCATGTCCCCCTCCTTCTGCCTTTGCCAATTCCTGTCTATTCTCATCCCTTTGAAATGACCCTAACTTGGGTCATGGGCTTGAACCCTCTCTGATTGCCCCCAAACATGAATCCTTTCAGCTCCAGTCGAGGTGCCTATCCTGGTTCCCTCTTGACCACATCTGGTTGCATCTGTACCACATCCGCTTGCCAACTGGCCACTTCTTTGAGAGGCAGCTTCCCCTCTCCCTTGCTGAGAGAGCACAAAATAAATCATCCCTTACCTGGAAGCCGGGGCCTGCCTGATGATTTGGAGCATCTGAGATGAGCAGTCTGGTGTATATTTCTCCTCTGACGTCATGAAGAGAGTCTACTCATCTCTCATTGCTGACAGACACTGGTTCCAGGATTTGTGGGGCAGGATCAGGCACAGAGACCAATACTCGATCTGCAGAGAAAGAAAAAAGAAGTTCTATAAGGGAGATGGGAAGAAAACAATGCCGGTCACAGCTCAGTCATCCAAGAGAGACCCTGGTCATCAAAACAGGCCATCCTTTGGGTTGACAGAGAGATCAGCTATGAAAGGATGAGAAGGAAAACAGGACATAGCTCCCAAACAGATCCAACCATCTGTTGGAATAAATCAGTTGAAAAGCCAGTGGGGTAGGATGGAAACAGAGAAAGACCCTTGCAGACAAGAAAAGCAGGACCATCCCAGAGGAGATTTGGTAATGGGAAACCTGGTATAGAGCCTTACTGATTTTTTCCTTTCTGCAAACTCCTATATTACCATCCATTTAGTATTTACCTTAGCCTGTCTGGCACATTTATTCTTTTTTAATGTAGACTAATTGTTATTCTTTAGTTGTGTCCAACCCATTTGAGGGTTTTTTTCCCCTTTTTAAAAATTAATTTATTTATTTTTAGTTTTCAACATTCACTTCCATAAGCTTTTAGTTTTAAATTTTCTTCCCCTCCCTCCCCAACTCTCTTCCCAAGACAGCATGCAATCCGATAGAGGCTCTCTATATATGTTCCTATTAAACATATTTTCACATTAGTCATGTTGTAAAGAAGAATTAGAAACAATAGAAAGAACCACAAGAAAGAGGAAACAAAACAAAAAAGAAGGAAAAAAAAGAGCAAATAGTATGCTTTGATCTGCATTCAGACACCATAATTCTTTCTCTGAATGTGGATAGTATTTTCTATCTTGAGACTTTTGGAGATACCTTAGATCCTTGCATTGCTGAGAAGGGCTAAGTCTATCAAAGTTAGCCATTGCACAATGTGGCTGTTACTGTGTACAACATTTTCCTGGTTCTGTTCACTTCACTCAGCATCAGCCCACACAGGTCTTTCTGGGTTTTTCTGAAATCCACCTGCTCCTCATTTCTTATAGTACAATAGTATTCCATTACATTCATATACCACAACTTGTTCAGTCATTCAATTTGGGGTTTTCTTAGCAGAGATGCTGGAGTGGTTTGCCATTTCCTTCTCCAGTTCATTTGATAGATGAGGAAACTGAGGCAAATAGAGTAAAATGACTTGCCCAGGGTCACACAGCTAGGAAGTGTCTGAGGTTGGATTTGAATTCAGGAAGATGAGTCTTCCTGACTCCAGGTCCAGCACTCTATCCACTGTGCCACAACCCTGGGAAGGTTATTGTCTCCATTTTGCAGATGAGGAAACTGAGGTAAACAGGGTTAAGTGACTTGCCCAAGGTCACAAAGTTAGTATCTGAAGCCAGGTTTGAACTCAGGAAGATGAGTCTTCCTGACTCCAGGCCCCACACTGTCCACTGCACCACCTAGCTGCCTAATCTTCTCCTCTCTCTTTTCATGGTCACCACCCTACTCGTACAGAAGGTCAGCCCTTTTTTTTGGGAAGAATGAATGAATGAATGAAAAAGCATTTTTTAAGTGCTTACTATATGCAAAGGACTGTGCTCAACCTTGACAATACAGATAGAAAAGCAAAACAGTCCCTCCCTGCACACAAAGAACTCATTCTAACAGGGAGAGACAGCATATTTGGTGAGACAGGATGAAAGACAAGACACCCCTCTCCCCCATGGCACTATGACACAGAGGGTGAGTGAAACAAGGCTTTGTGGGTACAAGGAGCAAATTTAAATTTAAAGGAAAAACACCTTTCTAGGACTAGTATAGATCCCAAAGATAAGCTAGAAAACCTGAAACCTCTATTCCCTTAGGAACAATAGGCCTGTCTAGGGAGAGCTTGTACCCAGCAGTGAGGAAGAACAGGAAAGGCGATGGGGTGTGGTAAAGTCTCTTCGCCAGAATGATTGATGGGATGCCAGGCCAGAGGCTGAGATATACTTGCACAGGGGGGGAAACAGCAGCACGCTGGGAACAATGTAGTCAGGCAAAAGAGATGAGGCCGATACACGATGTGGGGACAGGAGTCAGACAGAGGGGCAGGCACGGAGGAGACACTTATGATTCTTCTTTCCAATCCGCACTCGGGTGAGGGATGTGTTTGGCGCTCAGTAACACATCATGGTTTTTAAGTGAACAATCGCACCCTTTGATTTATATGTGGGTCGGGAGCACATTTGGGGAAGGCAGACATCACTGCTAATGATGGGCTCCTCAGCAGGATCCAGGAAAATCTCTTCCATTTCCCAGTGACTTATCACTGGCAAAAACAAATACAAATACAACCTACAGCTGGCAAAGGCCACACACACACACACAACACACACACACACACACACACACACACACACACAGAGATACATGCACATGGTCACATGGCAGGCTGTTGCACACAGACACATTCACAGATGTAGTCACACAGACACACACAGACACCACCACGTCAGATGGAATGCATGCCTCAGTACTCAATGTTCTGAGCTTATATGGACCAGGTTCCCCCAAATCATATCCCTTTGGCTTGTTTTGTCTTACCCAGAGTATCCTATGGGGAATTCAGAATACAGCTTGTGTCTAATTCTCCACAGGTGTGAGTCCCTGTGCAAGCTCTCAAAGTAGCAATGCATATCTGGTAACCCTACAGAAACCACAAAGTAACATAAAATACTCATAGCACCACAGATACAAATGATATTATTATCTTCCCCTTTCTAATATTAACTATTATTATGAAAGCCACCTTTACCCCCAATGACCTATGAAGGACTCTAGCTCTAGAGTACTACCCCAAAAGCTTGGACTCTCCCCTAATGGAAGTGAGCTTGAGGGTTGCTAAAGGGCCCATTGGCCTGGCATCATTCATGCGTAGTATTAGGTGAGTACAAAGCCCAGTTTTTCTTCTTCTAGCTTAATCACTTTTGGATTTTTCTATACAGAAACTCTTTGACACTCCTCCAAAAGTCGGGGTTCAGGAAATCTTACCCCTTAAACTCAGTTCCCCTCTCTCCATGATTGCAATCTCTTGGACTGAAAGGTTATAACACTGTGTCTTCAAGTCTGAGACCAGAAGCTCTCCCATCTCTCCCTGGAAAATGACATTGTGTCTTCTCCTGGGGCCATATTGTTGACAGACCCCACTGCTGCCACTTGCCACCATTTCTCAGGCCAAGTGGGAGAGAACTTATCCAACCTAGGATCTCAAAAGCCATTTAGTCCAATTCTCTCTTTTTATAAATGAGGAAGCTGAGGTGGAGGGAAGTAAAGCAACTTGACCAAGGTCATGCAGGTGATAAGTGCCTCCTACAAATGAACCTCTACTCAAAGGCTACCTTTAGTAGCTCCTAGAAAACGTGGAGAGTCTACACATATACAAGGGCTTCTCCCCTCACTATACTCCACCCTGCAGCCCTGATTGACTCTTAAATAGGAAGGAAGGAAATAAATATTTTTTAAGCAACTACTATGTGCTCGGTTCTGTGCTAAATATTTTACAAATTTTAATTTGGTAATTTTAATTAAATGATTTTCAAATCATTTAATCCTTTCTTCCACCCTTCCTCTCTTTCTCTTTTTCCCTCCCTCCCATCCTCCTCTAACTAGATGGATTAAAGACCCAGCACAAAGGAATGACTAATTCACAACAGCCAGAACCAAATAAATCTTCCTCAAATGCTAAGGCTTGATCATTCATCCTCAATGAGATCTGAACAGGCCAAAATTACCCAGAAGACATCCTTCATCCTCCCAATGAGGTACCCCTTGTCACGCCCTTATCCTTCACAGGAAAATATCATCAAAGTCCCCCAAAAGGGCTCACCTCCGTACAAATTCATCAAATTGATCAGGAAACATGCTGATAGATACACAAAGATAGCTGCCCACAATGACATGTAAACAGAGACACATGCATGTCACGCAGAGGCAAACACAGAAATCCACGTAACAGTCACATGGAGAAAGATGCCTTGAAAGGACAAGACAGGTTTCCGTAAGCAGTGGGAACTCAAGATGCTTTTTCCCTTTCGACCCTCCCTCTCAAATCCTTGAGATTAACTCAAATAACTCTCTGTCTCTGCAGTTAGAAATCTGCCACAAAGAGTGACAAAATACCCCTTGAGCTCTGACTGGTTGAGGGAAAGGCTGAAAAAGCGATTCCAAGTGGAAGGCTAAAGCCCTCATTCCTGCCTTTGTTATTCACCTAGAGACAGGGGGAGTAGTAGAGAGAATACCTGACTTGGAATCAGGAAAACCTGGGCTCAAATCCCACTTCGAATACTGTGTTCTCTTGTCTTAATGTCTTAATGGCTCCATGCCTCAATTTCCTTGTCTGTAAAATAAAGGGGTTGTACTGGACAGGCTCTACAGTTCCTTTCTGCTCTGTATCTGTGATCTATGATCCATTCACTCAACAAGTCTGTGTTGATTGTCTGTGCACCCAGTCCTGTGTGGAGAAGAAAACATGGTACCTGTCCTCTGGTGGCTTGCCCTCTGATTAGGGAGAGAGATGAGGCTTGAACATACATGGAAGTCTGACACTCTATCTGCCATTGAAGGAAGAGTATCTATAAGCCTTTACCACTGAACAGTATGGTCTAGCAGAGTGGTGGACTTGGGATTGGAAAGACCTGCTAGTAGTCTGACCCTGAGCAAGTTACTCAACCTCTCTGGGGCCTCAGTTTCTTCATCTTTAAATGAGATAGTTGGACTCGATGACATCTAGAGTCTCTTGTCATTCTAAATCTGTGATCTGATGAGTACTGACACGGACTCTTTCAGCTGCCTGTTAAATGCCTGTGAGGCTCCCTCCAGGGAGTGGATCAAACACAACTCAGTTATAACAACAGCCTCTTATGTTAGTGCAGATATTTAGAGTTTTAAAAGAGCATTTTCACATAGCAAAAGCAGCACTGGGCTTAGAATCACAGAATTTGAGAGGTGAAGAAGACCTCAGAAGCCATGGAGTCCAACCCAAACACCAAGAGTCAAAGGACCAGAGTTTGAATCCCAGCTCTATCTTTAATATCCGTGTGACCTTGGACAGGTC